ATTTTCAGGGTAAAAATTTCAGGGAAAAAACAAAGTACACTTCCCTGGGCAGTCCCCTCCCCTGTGGACCCATTGGTTCGCTAAACATCTATCGAGAACCTGGTACATACCGGGCACCAGACTAGAGCAGGGAACCAGACATCACCTCCTGCCCTTGAGAACTCTCCTGTCATCACACCGTGTATTTGCTCCCCAGAGCATGATGCCATTTGTCATTGCTTTATTTACTAATCTGTTCACCAGGTTTTACATTTCTCTTCCCCCCACTCCCTCCCACCCCTGCTGGACTGAACTCCATGAGCAGGGACCATGTCCATCGTAGGTCAGTCTATCTCCAGCTCCTGGCACATAGTAGGCAGCACTGACATTTGTTGAAGAAATGAATGTGAACTCCATGTGGGAAGGGACTGCCTGTGTTTGTCTCAGCTCTGCATCCGGTGCCTGGAACGGGACCTGGCACACAGTAGGTGCTCAGTTAATATGTGTTGAATTAATAAATGTAAGTGTCAAAAGGGCAGACACTTCCTGTTTTTCTCACCTCTAGCTCTGAGGGCCTTGAACAGCACCCAGCACATAGTAGGTGTTCAATAAATATGTGTTGAATGAATAAATTCAATAGGAATTAGGAAGTTCCACGAGGGCAGAGACTTTCTGTTTTTTCTTGACTCTCTCCCTAGGTTCTAGAACCACGCCCGGCACATAGTAGGTGCTCAGCAAACGCGTGCTTGAACACACCTGTGATGCTCCCTGGCCCTCCCCGCCCCCGCCCTATCTGGGGGGCGGGGCCTGCGGGCTCCCTCTGTGACGTCACAAAGACCCAGCCATGCGTCTGGCCTTGGCGCTTCTGCTGCTCCTGGGCCTGAGCGCCCCCGGAGGCCGGGGCTGCCTGCAGTGCGACCCCTCGGTGAAGGAGGCCCTGACTAAGCTGCGCTCAGCCCTCATCCCCGGTCGCTTCCACCGGGAGCAGCTGCAGGCCCGCGCCCGGGCCCTGCTGCTGGGCATGGAGGGGCCCTTCTTCCCGGACTACGCGCTGAACGCGTTTGTGGGGAAAGTGGGTGCGCTGGCGGCGGGGGCGGGAGAGGTGCTCCGGGGACCGCGCCCCCGGGAGGAGCCCCCGGGAGGGGAGGGCGGGGCCAGGCTCGGAAGAGGTGGGGAGTCCCTTGGCTCTCTGGGGGACCCACTGGACTTTCCTCCCTTCCCGCCCCCAGAGACGGATCGGCTGGAAGCGGTGGCGTCCTTTACCAAGAACCAAACGCAGCGCCTAGTGGTCGATTCTCTGAAAGGTAGGGGCCGAGAGGGACGCCTTCTCCCAGCACCCTGCCCGCCTCCCCCGGGTGTAAAAATGAAAGCAAACGCGCCCACGGCCTTTACGCTGCGTCCGGCCCGGTCCTAAGTGCTTCACTTAGAAAAGTCTACGGCGATTCATGGAGCTGGCCACCATTGCGATGCGCACTTCACCGAAGGGGAAACTGAGGCTCAGGAGGTTAGGGGACCCGCCCAGTGTCACCCACAGCTCGGAGGTAACAGAGCGGAAGATCTGTGCCTGGGACTTCTGGCTCGGCCACTGTTTTCCTAACCACCAGCCCTCAGATGCTGCTTCTTTCTGGTCTTGTGTTCGGCGACTCCCAGGGCGCCAGGCGCAGGGCTAGTTGTCGCAGATTTGTGTGGCTGTTATGACATTTCCCAGCAGAGGGCAGTGGAGGGTCCTGTGGACTCGGGGTGCGTGGTCCGAGCGCAGAGCCCCGCCCCACCCTGAGGGATGGATGACGTCATGAGGAGCCCGCTATTTTTTTTTTTTTTTTTTGATATATAAAAGTGTGTGTTTCTGTGTTAAGTTTGTGTTAGGTCATTAAATATGAAATGTCTGATTTCAAATCCAAAGTGTAGTTTATTATATCTCAAACGAGAAGCAGCACAATGAATCAAAGCATGTGCCCAGACTGACGACACAGTTTTGCCATCTTCACGGTAGCTTGTTTATACCAGCAGCGAAGAAGCCTGGAGAGCGAGTGGCCTTGAAATCGGGAAAGACGTTTTCCACAGCTTGTTGAGAATGGAATATTTTTCCATGCAAGAAGTGGGCCAAAGCCTGGAGGAAGTGGTAGTCAGTTGGTGCAAGATCTGGTGAATACGGTGGGTGACAGAGTTTCCAAGTCCAGCCTCTGTAGTTTGAGCAGCGTTGCTTGTGTGACATGTGGTCGAGCATTGCCTTGCAAGAGGACTGGCCTGTCTCCGTTGACCAATCTCGGCGGCTTAACCACAAGCATCCTCGTCATTGCGAACGCTTGGTTGCCGTAGACAACCGCGGTCATTGACTGACCAGGTTTCATGAAGCTGTAGTGGATAATGCCAGCGCTGGACCACCAAACAGACACCATTAGCTCTTTTTGATGAATATTCAGTTTTGGACTGTGTTTCAGCACTTCATCTTTATCCAACCATTGTGCTGAACTCTTGCAATTGTCAAAAAGAATCCATTTTTCATCACATGTAACAATATGGCGTAGAAAGCGTTCACCTTTATGTTGTGACAGCAAAGAAAGGCAAGCCTCCTGAGGCTTTCTCTTCTGACACTCGTTTAATTCACGCAGAACCCATCTATCCAGCTTCTTACCTTGCCGATTTGTTTCAAACGGTCCAATATTGTTGGAATAGTAACGTCAAATCTTGCTGCTAATTCACACGTAGGTTGAGATGGATTCACTTCCACTACAGCTTTCAGCTCATCATGATCCACCTTGGTCTCAGGTCGCCCACGTGGCTCATTTTCAATATTAAAATCACCAGAAGGGAACTTCTCAGACCATCGATGTACTGTGTGTTCGTTAGCCACATCCTTTCCTAACGCTTCGCTGATAGTTCAAGCTGTCTGCGCAGCATTGGCTCCATGATGGAACCCGTATTTGAAAATAATACGAATATTTGATTTACCCATGGGTTCACAAAAATTCCTCTAAAAAAGCACTTGAAAGATAATCACAAGCCAAAACGTATATTTGAAAGACCGGGGATGTACCTTCACAATAAAAAGAAAGCAAGAAGTGTCTAAGTGAAAAGTCAGAGATATCAACTGTCAAACTTAGCACTTAAGGAAATCGGACATTTCATACTTAATAACCTTAATCTAATGCTAGTAACCAAAACACTGATTTTAGGTGTACTAGGTTAAAGGGACAGACGGTGATGCTTGTTTTCTTCCCTGTGCTTGTCAAATTGCAGTTTTCAATTTCTTGTTTCTTCCTACCTTTTTAAATAATGAATGAGAAATAGTCATAGAATCAGAAAAAATATGCTAATTATGTAATAATTTTATCTCCTTTTTAGAATAACCTTACCATTTAGTGAATGTGAAATTTTAAAAAAATACATGCTAATGGGTACAGGGTTTCTTTCTGGGATAACAAATATTCTAAAATTAATTGTGATGATTGCAAAATATGTGAATATACTAAAAACCATTGAATTGTACACTTTAAATCAGGGAGTTGTATAGTATATGAATTATATCTCAATAGAGCTGTTTTTTAAAAATATGTAGTCCCCTTTGACCAGACTCAGGCCCCTTCCTGGGGAATCAAACACTGGAATACCCTGCTCAGCTGGGGAGCAGGCAGGGAGGGTGGGTTCTCATTCCAGACCTTTGAGAGAGATGGTAGAGAGTGGAGGCCCTGAGGGCAGACTGCTCTGGATTCAAAGCCTGGCTAAGCTTAAGCAAGCTGTTGAACTTCCTTGTGCCTCAGTTTTCTTATCTATAAAATGGGAAAATAATAGCACCTCACAGTCACTGAGAAGAGTAAATGAGTTTGTGGATGTGTGTTTAGAACAAAGTCTGGCACACAGTAAGTGCTCAATAAGTGTTAGCTATTGAGATTATCATGCTGAATGTCGCCTGTCTAGAGCAGGGGTTGGCAAACTACAGCCGGTGAACCAAATCTACCAGCCCCCTGTTTTTGCAAATAAAGTTTTATTGGAACACAGCCACAGCCATTCACTTACATAGTGTGCCTGGCTTTTGCTCTCCAAGGCAGAGCTGAGTAGTTGTAATGGTGAGGTCTGGCCCTCACAGCTGAAAATATTTACTATCCAGACCTTAATAGAAAAAGTTTGTTGAGCCTTGATCTAGAACATCAAGTTTCAGCTGGGTACAGTGGCACACTCCTGTAATCCTAGCACTCTGGGAGGCCCAGGCAGGAGGATCGCTTGAGCTCAGGAGTTTGAGACCAGCTTGAGCAAAAGCAAGACCCTGTCTCTACAAAAAATAGAAAAATTAGCCAGGCGTGATGGTGCACACCTGTAGCCCCAGCTACTAGGGAGGCCAAGGCAGGAGGATCGCTTGAGCCCAGGAGTTTAAGGTTGCTGTGAGCTACGATCATGCCACTGCACTCTAGCCTGGGCAACAGAGCAAGACTCTGCCTCTCAAATCCCGCCCCCCACCAAAAGACCCCAATACCAATAGAGCAGCATGTCTCAACTCAGGCTGCACATTGGGCCTCGCTGGGGAGCTTTTGAAACAATCTAGAAGCAGCAGCTCAGGCCAATTAAATCAGAATGT